GTAAACCATTATGTAAAAAATTATGAGAAAAAAATTTAGTATTCGGGGTCACTGTTGAATTAACTTCATGTCTAGATCCCAATTATAGTGTACCTTCATTTTCGATACACATGTTAAGAAATATTGAGTACTAAACTTTTTTCCTTGTGGTCCATTTTTTAAAAAAATATATTTTTCTTTCTCTTCTTTTCAACTACACATTTTTCAATAAAATAATATTACATGTAACCCAAAAAATTTTCCTTCATTTTTAACCATACATTTTTATCAATTTATTATTCCAAAATACATTCTATACAAAAAAATGAAGCTCAAACATACCCTTATTTTCTTGCTTTCATATTACATTTGATTGAAAACATTCTATATGTAGTTGTATACCTTCATTTTATCATGGCGATGAAATCTAAAGATAGATTTATAAATATGAGGGAAATTGACATAAAATATCCTTATCGTATGGTCCATGTGCGCATGTGGTCTCTAACCTTCTTTTCTCGCACTGACCATCTAAATCTATTTTTTTGAGTGCAAAAAGTCCTTTTGGATGATTTACATTCATTCTTGCCTTTAAAAGTATGCACATGTTCGGTGAAGATTAAAATCATATTTTTAGTATATTTTAATAAAAGTTGATAAAATATGAGGTTGAAGAGTTCCAATTTCACGAAATTGGTGGTTAAAATTAATTATTAGCATTGATTTAAATTAAAATTTAGATTTTAATCCATACCAAACAGTGACTATATCTATTTTAATAAAAAACATTTATAATATTTATCCATTTAGCTCTTATTTGATCTCCATTTCTTAAAATTCATATTTTTTTCGAACTCTTTTTCAATCATACGTTTCATAGGATTTACAGGTTTTATTAATTTTTCAACCATATATTTGACTAATTATTAAATTTTAATTTCCATCCAAACAAACAAGGGCTTATACACTTGGAAGACCATTTACATCTTATTTACCAATTACCATATTTCATTTGTAGTCATAGTCAAAATTTCTTATACGGTTATACCAAAGAGACATAAAGTGATAAAGATACATGTGAGAGAGAGAGAGAGAGAGAGAGTACCAATCTCCCACTTCCAATGTTGTTTCAATTTATAATTGAGAAATGCTATTCATCCCCGTTGGAGATGCATCCATAGTCTATGTGGCGTTAATGTAGTCATTTAATTTCACCTATCATTTAGCCAATCATTTACATCCACATAGACTGGAGATGCATCCCCACTGGGAATGAATAGCATTTTTCTTTATAATTTTATAACGTAACAATTCGAGCAATTCTATTTTGTTGGTATCATTTCATCGTAATAAAAGAATTAGTTGAGAAGAGAAATAATTTTTGTTTGCCCAATTGGAAAAAAAATAATATGCCAAATAAAAAAAATATTTATATAATATTTATAACTCTTTGTCCCTTTTACTTGATAAAAAAATTATCTTCTAAGAAAATTCTTCATATTAACAAAAAAAGTATAGATTTGTATATAATCAATTATCAATATAGTTATTTGTACAAAGTTGAGTTACAAAAGTTGATAAAATATGAGGTTGAAGAGTTCCAATTCCACAAAATTGGCGGTTAAAATTAATTATTAACATTGATTTAAATTAAAATTTAGATTTTTATCCATACCAAACAGTGACTATATCTATTTTAATAAAAAACACTTATAATATTTATCCATTTAGCCCTTATTTGATCTCCATTTCTTAAAATTCATATTTTTTTCAAACTCTTTTTCAATCATACATTTCATAGGATTCACAATTTTTATGAATTTTTCAACCATATATTTTACTAATTATTAAATTTTAATTTCCATCCAAACAAACAAGGGCTTATACACTTGGAAGACCATTTACACAAAGAAAAATGCTATTCATCCCCAGTCTATGTGAAATTAAATGACTTATTTAATTTCACTTATCATTTAATGTCACATTAACGTCACGTAAACTGAGGATGCATCCCCACTGAAGATGAATATCATTTCTCTTACACAAAACATCTTATTTACCATATTTCATTTGTAGTCATAGTCAAAATTTCTTATACCAAAGAGACATAAAGATACGTGAGTGAGAGAGAGAGAGAGAGCGAGAGAGAGAGAGAGAGAGAGTATGTTAGCCCTTGTTTGGCACACATTAAAATTTTCATTCTCATTCTTCTACTGATTTTCAACCACACATTCTTCAATAAAATAATATTTTTCATCACATTAATAAATTTTCCTTCTTTTTCAACCACACATTTTCCATCAATCTACTATTTTAAAATACATTTTTCGAAAANCACACATTCTCCATCAATCTACTATTCCAAAATACATTCTTCAAAAATAATATTTTTCATCACATCAATAACTTTTCTTTCTTTTTCAACCACACATTCTCCATCAATCTACTATTCCAAAATACATTCTTCCAAAATAATATTTATCAAACACACCTTTAGTACCATTCTCCCACTACCAATGTTAGTTTCAATTTATCATTTTATAACGTAACAATTCTATTTTGTTGGTATCATTTCATCGTAATAAAAGAATTAGTTGAGTAGAGAAATAATTTTTGTTTGACTAATAGAAATTTTTCAAAGAAAAAGAAATTAATTGGAAAAAAAAATTTTAAATATTTATTTTTTATTACTCAATAACATGCCAAATAAAAAAATATTTATATACTATTTATAACTCTTTGTGCATCTCCCTAAATATTGTTCCCTTTTACTTGATAAAAAAATTATCTTCTAAAAAAATTCTTCGTATTAACAAAAAAGTATAGATTTGTATATAATCAATTATATCGGTGCTGCCCATATAATTTGGAATGTGGTGCGACACACGACCTACACATCCTCAAAGCCGTCCTTGCAATACTTTTACAATATAAGAAAATCTCATATGAAAATTCAACTTAATTTATGATGATTAATAGCTTCATAAATAATTTGAGTGAATCAACCATGATTTGTTTCTCGCTCAAAATTTAATTTAATTTTTTTTTTAACGAAAAGTGATTTCTATTATTAAAAAAAAAAAATCATCATCATCATGGGAAATCCACCTTTCAAAATATATATTATATTATAACCCATATAAATAGAAAATCAGAACTTCATCTCTTCATAAATATTTGTAATGTATAGTTTGCCATGAAAGTATTGATATTTATGTAGGATAGTTGTTTCAATTTTTGGATACCGAATTTACACACTAAATATTGAATTTATAATTTATAACTTGATGTAAAATATCTTAAACACGGTATTTACAACAGTTACCGTATTTGCACGTTAGAACAGATTAAATTATATAACAAGTAATTGCAGTAAACAACTAAAAGATAATTGCCAAACAGTAATATGCAAAATGATCAACAATAAG